ATATGAGAGATATTAATTCTAATTTATAGTAAAATTAATCGTCCGTAATGATACCTACGATAGCGACGATGATGCAACCTTGGAGGAACTCGTCAACTCTCTTGAACCGGTTTTAAAAGACGAATGTAAGTACATTCTTTACTATATAAATATATTCAAATAGGAATGTAGAAAGTCTTATTAATTTATGTACTTTAAGATTACATTTCCCAATCTTTCATTATTATGATTTCCATTCTCTTTATATTTATATTGTTATAATGCTTCGATATTCCACCAGTGCTGGGGATCGACCCTAAACTTGACTGGAAGCAAGTGTGGGGGAAGACTAAACCTGTCTTGAAGGAAATCGGAAATGCCGCTAAGCCTATCGTTATCGAGATCGGAAAAGCCGCAGCTTCATCCGCAGCTAATGCCTATGTTAAAGGAGGTTAGGTCATTATGAAAATCTGCGAATAAGTAAAAAATCATTGATGTCAAAGGAACAATAAATTTTCAACATTCCATCACTATTAATATTGTTGTTTTTTTATTTTATTTTCAACACTAACATCTATCTATTTTTATAAGTATATACAACACATTACTAGAGGGAATACTAAATATTAATATTAATATTAGTTAGTACAGGGAATATTCCTGGAATATTGTAAAGGGAATATTTAGTAATAGTAATAGTAGACAACAAGATCTACAAAAAAGTACATATAAACAATTGCCCAATTTCCAATAGAAAATTAGGAAATTCAAGATTTGTGTGTTTTTAAATGAGTCACGTTTATTGTTGAATATTTAAGCAATAACAATATTTTAGGTATATAATTAAAAGTTATTCCATAGTAAACTAGACTAAATTTATTTTAAAAGAAAGTAAATTTTGTTGTTGTTGAAACCATTTAAAGAGTACTATTGGGCGGCTACCTGGAAAATGCTCCGTATCCATAATCCGGCCATCATGAATGCTTATTATAAGCGAAGCTAAAAAGAACCACTGGGTAGTTTTGACGGACTCGTACAGTGTTTTAACTGCCATTGATAACCCATATCCTAGAAACTCTATAATTAGGGAAATACTCAACATTTGGTGGGAGATAAAAAAAAAAAGAATAACAGTTGTCTTGATATGGGTACTAGCTCTTTGCGGAATTTTAGGGAAATGAAAAAGCTGACAATGGAGCCCATTTAGCAAGAAGTGGAGGAGAAGAAGAGGAGGTGACTAGATTGAAATATATCACTTGAGGAGACCGGGTATACGAAACAAAGAAAAAAACTGGCAGAGTGGGAAAGAGTGGAGGATCAAAGAGCTGAAAGAAGTTAAACTTAATTGCGATAAATGGCTCACTAGCACCAGAAGTTATAGACGTGAAGAAATTGCACTGTGCTGTTTTAGGTTTGGACACTGCCAGTTCACCCATAGTTATCTTTTAAGAGGTATAGAAGCTCCTACTTGCGAAATATGCAATAATACACCCCAAACTGTAAAACATCTTCTGGTAGAATGTCTCTAATTCGAAAGCCACAGAAAAAAAATTGATCTAGGAAAAACACTAAACGATATTTAACAAGATGATGAAGAGCGAGTCTCTATCGTGTTTAAATTTTTAAAGATCGCAAATTACTATAATAGAATATAAATTATAGAAAACGCCAATGACCCTCTAGAGTAGAGGTGAGAAAAAGAGGGTAAGTCAAAGACTTTAAATTGATTCATTTCATTAATGTATTTTATGCAAAACGGAATTAACGATAACTATTTTTATAAATCATAACTTACACCCTTTAACGTAAGCACTACATGCTGGTGGAGCAATACCTTCTCCTAAGAGGTAAGGAATTATTTTTATTATTATTAGTATCCCTGGCTTAGGAATTATTTACCCATTAGACTTAGCTTTCTCCAATTATTTTTCCAGTCAATCTTGATCCTGGATTCGACCTCCGAAAACGGTGGAGTATCGAATTATCATCAGTGTGAAAATACAAGTAGATAGAAAAAAACACTTTATATTGAATGATCGTTAAGATGAGTGGTTTTAATATAATTATAGTAATTAATATATATATGATTTTGTAGTAATATATATGAAATAATAACAAAATTGAATCATTGGAAACTATTTTTAGAGATCATATTTACGTTCTTCTTTCAACTCTGGTTCGAGTGAGTCCACAAGGGCCTCCAAAGCAGCACCATCGTTGTCTGAATAAGTCTAAATGATTTACTTTAAAATGTATTAAAATAAACATTTCCATTATTGGTATCATTATTTCAATATATTACACACCAGCATGGGCCATACCTACTGCCATGACGCAAACTCCTAGGAAAAGAAAGAGAACAAGCTTAGACATGTTGGTTGGTTTGTGTTGGTACTGAAAAAATCCAAAAATATCAGTTCATTTATACAGACAATCTATTTTATTTTATTAGCCACAGTAAATATTTCCGATTGTTTAGCTAATGAATTGTTTACCTGGCCTTTTATGCAGTTAAATATCTGAAGTAATTGTACAATTTTGTTTTCAAACAAGTTTATTGACGCATGTGCAGAGGAACAATACTTATGATTACCAACTACAAACAGGTATTCCAAAGGAAATTGGTGATTAATTATTTAAACTCATATAATATACTTATCGTAAATGGGAACTGAAAATTAAAAATAAAATATTTCTTATACAACACAAAAATCATAAACAATTTTCATCAATTATTTGTTGAATCTTTATTATATATTATATAATATTTAAATCTTATCTTTTTCTATTTCTATTTTTTATGACTCGAAAACATTTTTATAAGGTGGTAGATATTCAAAATTCTAAATATGTAAAAATACAATTTCAAAAATAAGTAACAAAACATGTGAACATAGGAATCCTGAAAGTTAGTGAGAAAAATCTAGTGCGCGCTAAACACAACATTCACTTACCACTCAACTTTGAATAGAAATTATTTTCTGAGCAAATTGGGCTATTATATAATTTTTGAATAGCATTTTAAACCTAGCTAAAGCTAAATGCTTACAGCTAAAACATCATGAATACCATTAAAATAACAAAAGTCCTATTTATTATATCACCGGTTGATTAAGGGTTGGACGATCCGTTGATTATCAGTTGTACGACTCTTAGTTACTAAACTGTTATTTTCCATTGCAAAGTTTAATATAACGGAATTAAGAGGCTTGCATTGTCTGTCAAAGACAGATCAAAAGTTGTCACACTAATTGTAATTGGATACTGTTGGAATATCACAAAGGGAAAATTCATCAAGTTATTCACTACGATACATGATGATTTTTCGGAATAAACGAACGATAGATGCCTAATTATTTAAATAAAATGTCAGATCTATAGTTATTAAACTACAGTCAATATATTTAAGGCTATAAACGTATCCAAGAAATATTTTTATATTTTACTTCTTCTTTTACACAAGTGCAATGAAATAGTATCTTAAACCATATCATTGCGTCGAATCCGTGGATTTTAAATAATTTTTCAAACTTAAAAAAAAATTAGAGGTTTACATTTAGTAAGAAAATTTATGTAATTTCCTTAAAAACACGTGATTTACGTTAAATAATGATAGTTTTTAGAAATTATTATTTATATTTTTTTTTGTTACTCTCCGTTACCTTCTAAAATTTCTATATTATATATATTTTTTTTTTTGTTATTTTCTAATTATCCGCTTTCCAAGGATATATTATACGTATACCTTCTGACCAGTATTTCCGGAGATTCATTTTCGACCTGGATAAGTATTTTTTTCCTTTATTTAATTATCAAATTCTTCCAAAAGTTATATTTAGCATTTTTCCATAATTACTAAAGTTTATAACTAGTTATTACTTATAACAAACCAAATTAAAGGAACAAACTATAGAGTAACAAATGATTATGTTGAGATTACACAAAGGGAAAATTCTTCAAATTATTTACTAATTTTTTTTATAATGGTTTATTGATAAATATTACAATCTGTCTCAATAAAGGACAATTTACTAATTTAATTTTCTAAAAGGACACATGATTGGATAAGCATTTTTTTTTTCTTCTTTATTCAATTATCGACTTCTTTCAAAAGTTGTCTTTACCCCTTTTTCGTAACGAAAGATAGTTAATTATTTAAAACGAACTATATTAAAGGTACTTTAGAGGAAGACGCATATGTACATTTGGCATTTAAGCCCTGTAAAGTGACATCAACGGGGGTAAGATCTAAATGATATTAAAGACCACTTAATTATACAATGATACACCGAGTTTAATCAAAATCGTTAGAGTCGTTTTTGAGAAAATTGTAAAAATATGTTTCACCATTGATGTAAAGTGGCGCTTCCTTTTTTTTTCCGGTTAGCAGATTTTAAGGAAAAAGTTCTGTGGCATTTAAGGCATATATCTATCTTATATACGTAATATAAGTTTTGTAGAACTTTTAGTTTATGAGCTAGAGCGTTCACATACACACAGACCATTTTTCGGGAGTCGGTTATTTGGACTCAGTGTACCTCTAAACGTGTATTTCCGTTGATCGTAATTCTTACCCTTACTATATATTACTTAGCTAACACTTAGTATTTTATTATATCTATTTAAGTAAAAAAAAAAAAAAGAAGAAATAAATAAAACTAATTCTATAAAGTCCATATTTTTTAACTCATTAAAAAGGAAGAAAATTCCAAATTTATTTTGCAGTAACAGTTTTTCTTAGAAAATCGTGATTAAAAACATGCCCGCTTAGTGGAAATTGAAAATTCTTGTAACTTAGATGGGTCCGAAATGTTTATACAAATTTTATTCGGGTTCGTAATATTAATTAGTAATGTTTTCGGTAAATGTTTTCGGCACGAATACACATGTTGATATTTTTATGTATTTTTTGGTCGTTACCAATCAAAAGTATTATTTCTGCACTCATAATATTTTTTTCCTATTTCCCCCACAGCAGGGATGGATTTGAATCGGTCAGTAGACTATTCCTCCACACACGCGTCAATAATTATTATTATCATTATTATAATTATTTGTAAAAACATATGAACATTTACCTGCGAGAAATTAAATTTAATTGTATTAAAAGCTAACGAAATGCCACGTTATTAGCTAAACAATCGGAAATGTTTACATTGTTATGTAAAACGAAATCGATCATCGGTATAAAATAACCAATATTTCCCGGATTTCTTCTGTATCACCACACACCTATCAATATGTCAAAGTTGGTTCTCTTTCTTTTAATTGGAGTGTGCGTCATTGCAGTTCACATGGCGCCTACCGGTATGTAAACTATTGAAATAATGATATTTAACTATATAAATATTTATTTTAAAGTAAATAATTTTGACTTATTCAGACGACGATGATGCAGCCTCAGAGATCTTCCTGGACTCACTGGAACAAGAATTGAAACAAAAACGTAAGTAGGATTTCTAAAAATATTTTTCATTGATTCAATATGATATGAAATTGTTATTGTTCATATGTATCATTCATTATTGTTTAACCTATTTTTCCAACTATTTAATAGCTGCGATTACTGTCTTTCTTTTTTCATTATTTTACATCTGGCCCACTGATCCTAACCGTAATCCCGATATCCTCGATTTCTTTATCCATAATGGTTTAGGTGCTCTCAACCATTTCGTTGCCCGTCTTGACGAGCTTTCCTCAGACCACAGCCCATTAATACTCCAAGTATCACTAGCTCCTATTCCTAAACCCTCTCCTCCGTCCTTCATCAGAGGCCCAGTTAACTGGAAACTCTTTCATCAAATCCTCTCCGATAAAATTGACCTCAGAGTAATCCTGAAAACCTCTGAAGACCTGGACAATGCAGTACATTCCTTCACTACCAAAATTCAAGAAGCAGTCTGGACTGCTTCCTCCCCTGATCACTCCTCAAAAATCCTTAAGAAACATAATTTACCTCAACACCTCCTTGACCTAATCCACATAAAACGCCGTGCCAGATTATTATGGCAACGTACCAGACATCCAGCCGACCGCCACTCCTACAATTATCACTGTAAAAAATTAAAAAAAGAATTAGCCACCTTCAGATCCCAATCATTCAATTCCTACCTCACCACACTCTCTGCTCATGATAATTCCCTTTGGAATATCACCAGAAAAATCCTCAAATCCCATCATATTTCCCACCCTCTTCGACGAGATGATGGCTCCTGGGCAGCATCTGATGAAGATAAAGCCGAGGAATTTGCCAAACACCTTTCCTATACTTTCGCTCCTCATCCAGAATCCCATCCCAGCCACACAGTAAAAGTAGAAGAATCCCTCTCAATACCTATCCCACTCTCCTTACCACCTAAAGCTGTTAATCCCTCTGAGGTCAAATACCTTTTACGGAAAATCACACCTCGCAAATCTCCTGGATATGACCTTCTAACCCCACAGATCCTTCGACAACTTCCATCTAAAGCCATCACATTTCTTACATATATATACAATTGCATCCTACGAACTACCCACTTCCCTCTTTTATGGAAACATTCCACCATCGTCCTCTTCTTGAAACCAGGCAAACCTTCCAACAATACAGCATCCTATAGACCAATTAGCCTACTCCCAATCCTCTCAAAAATTTTTGAAAAGATCCTACTGAAACGAATCCTACCTATAATTGAATCCTATAACCTTCCTACTCATCAATTCGGATTTCGTTCCCAACATTCCACTGTCCAGCAAGGACTCCGAGTTGTTGACCATATATCCTCAACCCTAGAAAGCAAGCAGTATTGCTCGGGTGCATTTCTGGACATAGCGCAAGCTTTTGACCGGGTATGGCACGCCGGATTACTCTTCAAGCTTAAAATCCATCTACCACAGTCCTTATACCTAGTACTCCGATCCTATCTTTCCGACCGCTCCTTCCGAGTTCGCTGTGGCACCGAATTCTCCGACTGTTACTCAATTGAGGCTGGCGTTCCTCAAGGCAGCGTCTTGGGCCCCATCCTTTACATTCTCTTTACCGCTGATATTCCTGTCCATCCCGATACCCTCCTGGCAACTTTCGCTGATGACACTGCTATCCTTTCTTCCAACTCAGATCCTGAAACAGCGTCCGCAAACTTACAAAGGCACCTCTTCCTGATTGAACACTGGTGTAAGAAATGGCGCATTAAGGTAAACGAATCTAAATGTAAACACATTACCTTCACCCTTCGGCGTAATACCTGCCCACCAGTTTATTTTAACTCCATCCAGCTTCCTTTCTCAGATACAGCCCGGTATCTTGGCTTTCTCTTAGACAGACGACTAACATGGAATCCACATACTCGACTTAAAAGACAGGAACTTAACAGACGATATGGCCAGCTATATAGACTACTGAATAGAAAATCTAAACTTTCTGGTGAAAACAAATTACTGATCTACAAGACAATACTGAAACCCATCTGGACTTACGGACTAGAACTATGGGGAACAGCCAAATTTTCTAACATCAAACGCATTCAATCCTTTCAGTCTAAAGTCCTCCGTACAATAGTCAATGCTCCCTTCTATGTAACCAATAAAACCCTACATCATGACCTTAATATCCCATTTATTCTTGATCTTATCCCAGCCAAATTTTCCAAATTTCACCAGAACCTTTCTCATCACCCAAATCCCGTTGTACAATCCCTATCAAGCACCACCCATCCCTACAATCCCCTTCGTAGGTTAAAGCGGCAGTGGCCACGAGACCTTTTGTAAATATGGATATTTTGGAGTTCTAGCAATGGCCAGATTCTCCACTCAAGTCATGAGTGTCTGTGGCTGTAGCGCTCTTACTCATCCTCCGCTGGTTTAAAATACCAGTGAAGTGGCTGAGGGAGAAGCGTAGGGATCTCCTAGGCCTCCCTTTTCCCTCCACATGTGGAGGGGACAGGATTGGTTCGGAGATCACCTGGCAAATTGTAAATAATGTATGTTTTATATAAGGTGTTTGTTTTACTTTTATTTCTATTTTTATTTACTTATGTGTATATATATTTTTTTTTTTCTTTACTCTTTTGTTCTTTCTTCTTATTCTTTTGTTATTACTTTATTTATTTATATTTTTGTATATACGGTATGAATGCAATCTCTGAACTCTATTATAAGTGTCCTTAACTGTGACAAATTGTAATATTTCTGAATAAAGTGTTTTTAATAATAATTTTACATCTACTCGCATTTTCATACTTATGATGATTCTTTGGTCCACCAGTTTCTGAGATCGAACCCAGAATCCAGATTGACTGGAAGAAATTGTTGGAGAAAGTAAAGTCTAACGGGATGATATATCCTAGACCTGGCCCTTACCACGGAATGAGAAGCATTGCTTCACCCGCAGGTAATGCTTATGTTGGAAATGTTTAGGTTATTATATGAATGTATTAAGTAATTGGAAGAAGAATGTCTTGGATTTCTAAAAATAGTTTCTATTCATTCTATTTGGCATGGAATGTATTATTAACCTGTATCAATTTCTATTCTTTAATCCTTCTTGTATATTCAAACTAATATAGATTATTTATTCCAACAGATTCAGACGTCGAACCTAGGATTAACTGGAAGAAACTTTGGTATAAATCCAGGCCTATCGGTGGATTGCTTAATCCTCCTATGCCTATCGTCATAGGGAACAACCCAGTTGCACCACCCCCACGTCCCGTGCAGTAGTGATTTTGTTAAAGAAGACTAGATTATGATGAAAATTTATGATGTAAAAACAAAAATCGATGTTAAATAAACAATAAATTTTATTTAACCAATTACTAATAATATTGATTTTTTTTCTTCACCAATACCTCTTGTCTATTTTTTAAAGTATAACAATATGTTTCAGTAAAACAATATTTATGTTATACTACCATATTAAATATAAAATAAAGAAACATTTATATAATAAATCTCAAAAAATTATTATATTAAGATTTTCACAGATTTGTAGGTGTTAATTGGACAATTATAACAATTTTGGGTATTTACTATACAATTTTGTACATTTTGAGTTTTTAGCTTGTTTTTGCACGAAAAATCAGGTCTTTATTCATAAATCAGATCTGTTATTGGATGAGAGCTATCTAAATCTCTTTCAATAATTGTATTTCTTCTAAGTTTTTATAATTTTATTTTCTGTTATCATTTATTTCTTGCTATACATACATAATCCTATTTTATTTTTATAAATTCGGATTTTATAAAATTATTGGGAGAACTTAAAAATAAAGTAAAAATAAGCCCCTGATTTATACTCGTTTATATATTATATTAAAGAGGAAACGCTGCAATGAACAACATTACGATTTTAATTCAATATTGAGTAATAACAATATCTACAATCATTTTCTGATGATTGGGAAAAGGGATTAAGAGAGTTTTGAAAAATTCCCCCCCCTTCATAATTGCAAAAAACTATTAATAACAAGAATAATAATAACAAAAGCGGTGGCCTAATATTATAGTAGGCATATATAAACTTAAACTAAGGATATATATTTCTAATCCCATAAAATTTATGACTTGTTTACGCTTTGTTCACTTGATCAGAAGATGTAATAAAGAATTCGTGCCATTTGTACATACGATGGTAAACCATGTGAAACTTTTGTCCCATCTATTGGTAATTGTACCTTCATTCACCAATATATATATTATAAGATATATATTGAAATAATGATATCAACAATAGAAATATTTATTTTGTAGAAAATATTTCTGATTCATTACGACAACGATAATGCAGCATCAGAATCACTCCAACCAGAATGGACCTGATCGTGGACTTGAACTCGAGACATTCAGCTTAGGAAGGCAGCACCTTACTCACTACCCTGCTCCTGATAAATATATATACAATTTAAATAAAATTTACATTGATAAAATAATAAAAAAATAAATAAATAAGAAGAATATTACGTATTTTATTCCTGAATCAAAATATTAATAAGCAGTCGTGTGATTCATTGCGGTTTATTCTTTTTTTTTATAAAACTTTATATTCTTGTAAAGTATAGTAACAACATAATTATATAAGGTATTCATTGTATACGCTGCCGATCTATACATCCTCGATCAAATCCGGAGCTTACGGCCATGGATGAAAAAGGGAGGAGAAGTTAATAAAAGCGTTGATGATAAAATTGCGTTAAGACTAGAGGCGGGAAAGCTAGAGTGTTAACTGCTTTAGATCTCTGAATATTCAAACGGAGTTACGGATTCCTATCCGGGGATACTCAAGCAATTCCTATGGGATGTTATTTTCCCTCATATTTCACTTTCTCGATCATAGATGTTTTAATTATTATTCCAAAAAATATTTACTTCATCATTTGGTTATCAATCTCTAATTTTCTTCCAAATTTAGATCAAATCGGACTAGCAGTTTTTGAGATAAAGCCGCATCAAGGAAATATCTTTTGTAAAAATTTAAGAGAAAGCAATAGACGTAATTAAATAAATTAATATAGTATACGTTTTTACTTTCACTTACGTATATATGTAATATATAGTAAGGGTAACTATTGCGATCGTGAAAATTTTCTAATCTCAGTTTTCAACGGAAATACATGTTTTGAGGTCTCCTGAGTTCAAATAACCAAGCATTGCAAAATGGTTTGTGTGTGTGTGTTAACAGTCTAGCTCATGAACGAAAAGTAGTACGAAACTGATATTAAGTATTTAAGTTTTGTATATGAGTCGGATGTGATAGCAACTTTTTCGTTAAAATTGGATAACCGGAAGTGCCACTTTATATGAACGCTGAAACACATTTTTACAATTTTCTCAAAAACGGCTCTAACGATTTTGATTAAACTCAGTGTATAATTAAGACGTTTTCAACATAATTTAGGTCTTATCCCCGTTGATGTCACTTTACAGGGCTTAAATACCCAATGTTCATATATGTATTCCTCTAAAGTATCTTTAATATGGTTTAATTTAAGTAGTTAACCATTTCGCATTACTCAGAGTTACGAAAAAATGCTACATATAACTTTTGAAAGAATTTAATAAGTTAATAAAGGAGAAAAAAAATAAAAATTCAGAAAAACCTGCTTTGCTATAGACTGTAGCGCTTAAACGAATGTTCCGATTTCAATGAAACTTCCCTAAAGTCATTTTCTCGATACCCTTTGAATTTAACTATAGAACATACGTCAACGAAAAGAAGCTAAACAAAAATTTACCAGGGATGTTAAAATTAAATTCCAAATAACTCAAAAAGTATACACTTTTTTGGGGATATTGTATATTTTAAAAGTTTATGGAATTTCCAAAAAAAAATGTTAAAATTGGACAATTAGGAGGAAAGATATAGTCTCTAGTTGGTTTCCCCGAAGAGGCAAACATTTGGATAAATTTAAAATATACTTTTTTAATTGTTGAGACTAAAAAAAACTTTTTTCTACAGATATTTAATATAGTGTCTTTCTTAAGAACATCTTTCATAAGAAATAAGTACCTAAATTTATACCATTATTCTCAGTTCTATATTTCAACACTGCAATCACCACCTCTGGAATCAACTTACTCATTGTCTGCATAGATAACTTTTTAAACTAAAAATATCACTAAAATGACATCACTCAAAAATGTTGAAATTGGAGTTAGTCATTCTGTGGTTTATGAAAGAAAAGAAAGTTGTGTGGTTTATAAAAGCAGATGGAGTGACTAGATTTTTATTGCTTGTCGTCGATATATTAAATAGACATTTTGTAATTATAATGGTCTTAATGACTTGTTATCTGTAAGCTTTAAGCTTTAGCTCCGTTTAAAATACACTTCAAAAAATATTATAATAGCCCAGCATTGCCAGAAAATAATTTATATTCAAAGTAAATCGGTTAGTGAAAGTTGTGTGTTGCGTGCACCAATTTTTTTTTAAAATTATACCCACTTTTCTTTCAACATTGAGCCTAATCGAAAGAGCCAAATTAACATAAAATCATTTTTTTCTGAAATATTATATTATAATTTTTAATTATAACTAACAACGGGAGGTTACTACGGAAATGGGGTCATAGATTTCGATGAAACTTTTTTGCATGATACTAGGTCGAAGAATAGTTGACCGATGTCTGAGGATCCTTGCTAATGCACCTCCGGGGACGAGACAAAATATATTTTATAAAATTTTATTATTTTTTATATTAATGTTTTCTGACTTTTCTCTGAATGGATTTCTAAGTTATTATTTGTTTAAAATTTATGGTGCTATGTACCGCAAAATTAGGCTAAAGGCACTATTCCTTGTGACGTTTAATTGTTTAAATTTCTTTTATAAATTGTATGATTTGGTTATTGAATTTATTATTATTTTCCTAACAATGTTCTTAAATCATGTGAATTGATTCGAAACCTTCCTTTGATGTCCTGGTGTAACGCACAGTCCGTCAATGTGCTTCAAAGTCAGTTGTCGGCAGCTGGCGGGGGTTTTCCTTCTAGCAGATAGCTTTGAGTTAGTTTGGTGTGACCGATTCTTAGCCTTGTTATTGTCGCTTTCTCTTTTCTTTTGCTGTTCACAATATTCCAGAGATTAGCTGTTTCTTTAACTGTTTTAAGTTTATCAGTTTTATCTATCAGGGGCCAGTTCCAAGTTATTACATATCGATCAATTTGTTATTTATGTTTTGTAACATAAGAAAAACATATAGTTAATTGTATTAAAAGAAATTTAATTTACAATAAATTACAGACACATTGATACGCTTCCAGTAAGCCAAGTAAATTTCTGTCCTGAAAAAGCTATTCAGTTTCGTTTTTATCGTCGGCGAAAATTCTTAAATACGATTTTGCTTTGAATAGACCTAAGATGCCAAGGTGTATTTTGCCACTTTATAAATAAATACACATACATGACAACTTAAAAGGTAGTACGGTCAAATACTAATTTTTAAAAGAATATAATTTTTATTTAATTGTTTCGCCGACGTTTCGAACCAACTTGCAGATGTTCATAAGCGCTAGAAACGATACAAAATATAAAAGGTACATGGTGAAAATAAAACAAATGAATTATAAGTAAATATTAAATAGAAAATTGTTGTCTGATAAAGAAACAATACGATGACATCAGAGATATAGTGGGTGACAGTGTAGTTAAAACATCAAGTATTATATATATATATAGAAGATACAAACAAAAATAGAAAACAAAGGAGCAGATAGCTTTTAAGTTAAAAGTAAAAAGATTGTTATAAAAGATAAGAAATGAATGTATAACAAACTGGTAAAGATTACATTTGATAGCTGTAGGTTTATAGATAAAGACAATTTTTCCTTTATCTGTTTTCTTTATTTTCTTTATCTGTTAACCTGCAATTATCAAATGTAATCTTTACCAGTTTGTTATACATTTGTTATATTTCTAAAAATTGATCTAAACATAAAAACCCTTTATTATCGATCTCATACAAATTTATGCGAAGTCACTTACATAAGGTATATGGCAAGAGCAGACGTGCCGACGAATAAGCGGTGGAAAATAATAAGGAGGTGGATGAGATATCCATATTTTAAACAAACGTAGTAATTTAATTAAGTAATGGAAGAAGAGCTGATGGGTACCGTCTTTCTCCACGCTTCTTGAATTATGTTCATCAAACCATTCGCTGATTTTCATCAGTTTGTTGACAGGTGCAGATTAATAGAGGGCAGGGCTGCCGAGCGAGATAACACAGATGCACAGCACTGCGTTGTCCGGCAACCTGATGAAAGATAAATTGATAGTATAATTACGAGTTCACGTCCCGATGCCGG